TGCTCTAAATAAGAAATTAAAGAATCCTTGCCATTGAGTGAGCAATCATATTTTAAAACTCTGTAACATTCCTGTGTGGGCGTGACAGCAAGTGTCACAGACATTTCTTAAAAGTCAGAATTGCAGCAGCAAATGCTGTGAATGATGGCTGTTTCAATTAAAACATGTGGGAGTGGCATCTGTTTGTGTTTAGAGTTAACTGCAGAGGTAACCTGCCCCAGTGCTATCCACGCTCAGTCTGCTAGTGCTCAGACTGTTGTCCTGCAAGCTGGAAAACCTCTGTGCAGCATGAGGCTAAGTGTGTAATACATCACAACTAGTATTGCCTATAGGCTCTCTGTTAATATTTTCCATATTACTGACTTACAATGTCTTGTAATATATGAGGTTTCTGCATCAAGCTGGCCTCTGACGATTGGTGATCTGATGACTGGTGGGGTAATGCTCAATAATGTAGCAAGAGAGGTGGAGAAAGTTCACATCCACAGAATGAATGAGCTAGGAGATCCACGGGTTCTACAAGTTCCTCTCCAGCAAGGCTTTAGCCCAAGGTTCCATGCACACTAGCGTTTTTTAAGCTCCTAGAAGCTAAGTAGTGTTATCCTACGTGTCCATGCCCACTACTTTAGGCTATTACCGTTTTTTGAGCTTCAGCTTCTAGGAGCAGAAAAAAAATTTGTTTTTGTTGAGTTTTTTGGAGCGTTTTTCCAGTAGAAAAAAAAAAAAAAAAAAATGCATAACGCTCCTAAAATGCTACGAACAGCTTTTTTCTATGTTTTTCTTTTTTTTTTCTAGATGTACTGTAAAAACACTAATAAAATTCTAATACTCCTAAACGCTACCATAAAAAAAAAAACACCATTATCAGTGTTTTTTGAACTTAAAAAAAAAAAAAAAAAAAAGCAATTCTCAAGCAACTATTGTTCAGAGGCTGTAGATAAGCTCACAATACAGATATACAACTGTTAGCATACAAAACCGGAGTGCCTATGTACCATCGTGCCAGAAGAATGCTGCTATCTTTTTCAGAAGGTTCAAGACAAAAAGTAATTATTCAAGCTACTTCTTAGGGCCAAAAACACTGAAATTTGAAGTATAGCGCCAAGTTCGCACATCACTGAGCAAAGTCGCAAAATCGTTTTCAGTGTCTGATGAGGAATTTCCCCACAAATCATTATCACTCAATTCTGCAAGTGGTTCTAATTTACTATCGCTGTTCTCTAGCTGGTCTAAAACTGCTTTTGACCTAAAAGGGACACTTTTTGGACGCCATGGACTTTTCTCAGTTTCCAGGCAGAAAGAACAGTAAAAATGCAGGCAGGGCACAGGACAAAGTACTAGGGACAAAATGTATGTAAAATGCTTTGATACAGTAACGTTTTACTATGTGATTTTAGTGAATGTCACTTCTACAATTTTCACATTTCCCGTCAGTTCCGTCCCCGTACGTCCTGACGTCGCAGGGAACGGAACCCAGATAACAGATGCCAGCGACACTGCAGGAGGGACATTGCGGGAGCGCAGGACAAGGAAAGTGAAGAATAGATCCCGGAGCAACGCTGCAGGGTATTCCCGAGTGTAGCTCGGGGTTACCGCTTGTGGTGCTGAAACTTTACCCCGAGCTACACTCGGGAATACCTCCAGGGAGGTTAAAGTACCAACTGAACTACACAAATATACATAAAATATTCTTTATTCATAAAGTGCTAAAAACATGTCTGATTTTATCCATTCTACATCTCTAAAAACCTATTTAGAACGGTGGTGTGCATAACCCTCATCATGGGTTGTGTTTGCCTCCAACCCAGGTGGTAATTTTGAAGCCGTTAACCTAGAATCACGTGAGCCCAAAGCCTGACACGTTTTGAGACTTGCTCCTCCTCAGGGGTTACTTCTTGGATGTTACACCAAAATCATATGATCACAAATAGCCTGTGTGAAAGAAGCTAAAACCACGTGGTATCAGCATGGAGTGACCCAGTGGAAAATGAGAGCCCAGAAACCACAGGGAACCCATAGGAGCACTATATGATTACAAAACAAGAAATCCTTAACAGGTTATCAGCAGGTCCATTCAGTGGCACAGCCAGCCACAACCACCAAACCAGGGAAGCCACAGACACGTATTTGGGGACAGAAATGGACATGATGTTTTCATGATCCACCACTGCACATATGTATTGTTATGACCTGCAGTGGCATGTGCGTTGAATCACATCCCCCGGACGAAGCCACGTGACCCTGTGGCGCAACGCGTTGGGGAGGAGCAATGACGTCACCACGTACCCGGACTCCTATGCATGGCGAGTACAGGAAGTGTGTGTCCACACGCTGTTCAGGCTGGATACACTAAAAGCAGTTTGAGGTTTTTAAATCTGTAAGTGCAAAATTGGCACCAATAAATTCTTATGCTCACCAAGGATAAGGCACTATTCCTTTCTCTTTTTCCTCTGGCAATACGCTGAGTAACAGGGAGAAAGCATATAACAACTGTTGGAGGGAAGATCTTACCCAGGATCCATTTACAGCAGAATAGTAGGAGCAAAGAGGAGAACCATTCAGTTTGCTACTTATAGAAGAACATACCAAGTAACTCATTTTAGTTTGAGCATTTTTATCTGGAATTATGTGAACAGTTAATTTGCAGTGAATAGTCCCACTCTGATGGGATCTAACTTGTGATTGGATCTTCAACTATATTGGACATTTATGAACGATTAATTTTTCATATAATTATTCATATAATTATATATATATTTGGATTTTTTTTTCCCTACAATTGATGTAAAATATAAATATATATATATATATATATATATATATATATATATATATATATATATATATATATATATATATATATATATATATATATATATATATATGAGTTGCACATTTTATATTTTGATAAATTAAGGGCAATTATTTAATTACTGAATTACCGGTAATATTCTAAAAATTGATTTTACTTATTTATTCATGGGTATAATATAAGGGCGCGGCACCCTTTTTACTTTTAATGTTCGTTCTCATCTACAACGCCAGAGTGTTCAGTTCTTCAAAATGATAAGCACTGCACCGTACCACACCACGGAATGTGCTTTGCAGTAACAAACGTTTTACCATACGTTACTGCAATGCATAGCTGTGAATGGGCCCTACAGGTTACTGGCATTTTAAAGACTACATGCTTCAAAGAAATGACACACACAGCTGTTTGTCACTATGTTACTAAATAAAAACGTCATTCTATGTGTGTTTTTCCTCTTTTTTTTTTTTTAAACTTCTGCAAGACACGAAAGCTCTTTAAATATTCCATCCACACCTCTGATACAGTATGTTTACTGCTGATTGCTTTTCCTACTCTTCTTTTGCCAACATACCTAGATGAAGTCACTTGTTTTTCAAAGGCCTAATACACAAGTCATTTTCGGATCATGGCCTGTAAATAGGATTGCTCGAACAGGTCTTTGTTCAATTTATCAACAGTTCAACAGAATAGGCCAAAAACCCAAAATCTGAACACAACTGAAGTCAATGATGATGGAATTTGGCTGGGCTGCGCACTCTGCACTTCTGCCACTAAATGTTAGATTCCAGGCTGCAGTAATACCTCCAGAAATGCAGGGCAACGTCACTGACCAACCTGGCATTGCCCAGGATTCCCAGCAGTACCTTTAATTTACTATAGTCAGGAATCTGCCTTTTACCAGAAGAGCAGCATATACAGTTTGGCGAGTGAAAGGCCATTGTGACTGGCATAGATTACCACACTGGATGACTTGATTGATGCATACGCCATTGTACTCCATGACTGATGCTGGATTTACTTCTGGGTACACTAAAACTTTATTTTAAAAGCCGATATGTAGGTATTAACAATGAATGTTTTTTAAAAAGAATTTTTAATTTGAGGTTTGTGTTTTTGCTTTCAGCTCTTTCTGGGAATAGGTAATAATGCATCCTTGTACTCACTCTTCTGGATGGGAATATAGACATGTTCAAAAAGCATGCAGTGTATCTTTGCAATACATGCACAGTTTACCATGTTTTATTCTCAAAGAAAAAAGTACAGCAAACTACCTGATGACTTGACAGTAGTGCCCTCAGCTCCTAATTTCCTGTTTAAGACCAACAACATAGACTGCGGACATCAGGACTGAAATTGCAAGATATGGTGTCAGCCCTGCCCATCGTTATTTTGTTGAACTACTCCCCTTCTCTACACCTCCACAACATAGGGGAGAATTGATCTGAAGTAAAATGACAAGAATTGTGAGGACACATTGAAATACCACAGGAAATTATCGAATTTCTGGTAACATCAACGGGTATTTTTTGCACTTATTGAACAGATTTACCAAAACACTTTCAATTGTACATTTAACAGACCAAATAAGAGAAATTCACTGTAAGGGTCTAGATATACTAAGTGGTCCTAAAAGCTCACGGTTTTATAGCTTCATGCATTATATGCATGAAGGTTAAATAAACCTTCTGTGTGCAGCTGCCATCTGTGTCTCATTGGGGAGATTTATCTTCAATTCCTGTCCCATAACCAAAAAGGAAGAAGTGAGAGGAAATCCCTGCAAATTATGGGAATTCCTTGGGGACCCCTAGGTCAATAAAAAAAAGTGCCCCCATTGGAAGATTTTCCCTCTATTACTTTTCTGGGGACAGCCCAAAATTTGGGATTTTCTTTCGCTTTCAATAATGGCAGACAGGACAATTTGAGAGGGTGAATCTCACTACCAGTTACTCAAACAACAATAAAAACCTAATAGGTGTATATAATCTATCTCCACTGCAAACAAAAAGGAAAGGAAATGTTTTGCCTTTAGTTATACTTTACGCCCAAGCTCTTGATGCTCCTGCATGCGTCAAGCATTTTTTTCTGCCAAAACGCTGCTGTCAGGAAGAAAGCCGTTCAGGAGAGCTGGGCAAACGCTCTGTGTGAATGGGGCCTATGAGTACATCTCTTTAACCCTAGGTTCACAACTATGCGGCCGTGCGGGCCGAGTTTTGCATGGGCACAAGAGCCCATTCATTTGAATGGACTCTCGTGCCTGTGACACACCAGGAGAGAAGTCCCTGCACTACTTTGGAAAAGCAGCCCGCACGGGAACCTTGGTTTCCAGTACGGTTGCGCTTCCCAGTGCGGGGGGTGTGTGGGTCCGCAATTCTCTGTGTGAGTGGTGCGGCTGCACGGATTTTCGTGCGGATCCACAGCGGCACCACTCGCATAGATGTGAACCGGGGGTAACTGTTACTAACACTGCTTCCAATATGTACCTGACAAGGGCACTGTAAAAGGACTACCAGGATATAATCTAGTATTCTGCAACTGGTGAAGTTCAGACTTCTGAAAAGTAGGCAAACTAAGCCACATTAAAATTTTCTTTTTGTTTTTTTTTTTTAAACATGCGAGCATTGTGTTCTGTGCCGATTACGAGCTTAATACTTGGGCCTTCCATGGCAACAATCAAAAGCTTTGGAAAAGAGTTTACCTCCAGAACATAAGAGTACGCAAGAATAAGGAACAAGACAGGTAACACATTCAATCACCAAAATACTTACGCCTAGCTCTTTAGCAAGGCAGAATGCAATGCATAAATGAAGTATAAAAGTCTAAATTAAACGTTATTATGATTCTAATTAATAGGAGTCATAAGTGTTATTATTATTACAGCGGCTATACAGAATAAGAAAGACTAAACACTGGGTAACGTAAGAATCTAAGCCTTTCCATCAAGCTATGGCATTGAGGAAGCCAAGCATTCCCACAGGCAGCCATCTGCCCCCTTTAAAGTGGCTAAAGGATTAGCTAATTTTAGTTGACTTCTGACAACCAAGTCCCCCTTCCTGTGCTTTTTGAAGCACATATGCAGCTTGACAAATGCAAGTATTAAGTCTTATTTAATATGCCTACGTAAACGCCAAACTGCTAAATCCATTATTGAAATAAAAATATGTGGACTGTTTTATCAACCAATAGATTTAGAATGCTTTTTACCCAGTAGTGTGATTCAGACAGACACTGGACATCTCTGCAGACTACACTGCAATTGGACAATACAATCTGGTCTACATACCACCCATGTCAGCGGTTGGACAATGATGAGTAGCATGTGGGCTCTGCTCTTCCTTTTCTTAAAGTATAATTCCAGACCGGAGGGGACATGTTGAAGACTAGTTAGATTTAGGCTGGAATTCTACTTTAAGCCAGGTCACTGTACAGTACAAAGCAGAAGATCCCAACTACCACATAGTGCTGTCCCACCCTCTCCATGCAAGTGTTGCTGTGGTTATCTCAGGAGCTTTAGGGGGCCTCAAGCAAGGCCCCAGACATAACCAAGGGGTTACACATATTATTCAGCACCTGTAATGCTACAGAAGACTGTCAGAGACAGCAGACATACTACAAGAGATACTGCAAAAAAGGGCGAACGCTCCTCGTGCATTACCGTGATAAAAAAAAAAGTTTAATGAAAATGACAAAAGTGTATACTTACAAACCAAGAGTCATAAATAAAAGCAAGGAACCAATGTGACAGTCCCAGCAAATGGTGGTCTTGCTCTCCTATATAGGCTTCAAACATGTCTAGTTTCAGATCTGAGGAAGGGAGCAGGTCTCCCGAAACGCGTTAGCACACTGTCGCAAAACCACCATTTGCTGGGACTGTCATATTGGTTCCTTGTTTTTATTTATGACTTTTGGTTTCACGGTAATGCACGAGGAGAGTGTGTCCTTTTTTGCTTTTTTCCAGTATTATCAATATTCCCTGATCTTTAGAGGGCTGCACCTCAGCGAGTGACTGGTACCGTGTTCTTAGGATGTGTATGGACCGGAGCGCTGGTTTTGCTTCTCTTTCATATACTACAAGAGATGGTCAGAGGCCAGGGACATGTTACATCAGACTGCGAGAGATCACTGACGTTAAGGATCTTTTACAAAATGTCATTCCTAGTCATAAATGCTGCATGCTCAAGGGCTGCGTGTGGCCCACAAGTCGTAGGTTGAGCACCACAATTTAGAGTATCTAAAGCTGAACCTCTTTTTTTGGCTAAGACAAGGGACAGCAAAAGTCCTGTCTGTATAACTATTGCAATGATTCAGGCTAGCTTCACATGTGGTGGGACTGCGTTAGCCGGCTATTTCAGCACAATTCCACCGCATGGACAAGGCAAAACGTCCTGCCTCCTATGTGCCCCATTCACACCACAGCGTTGCATGCAGTACTTTTTTTCAGCGCAGTGGAAGACAGACAATCTACTGCCTCACACTGTGCAGCCAGCAATTGAAGTTAATGAGATATCTGTGTAACAATTCAATAAAAGTTACTTAAATAAAAAGTAAACAGTGTGATGCGCCTAGCTAGGTACATCATCAATGACCCTAGGTTCACATCTGTGCGGGTGGTGCCGCTGTGGATCCGCACGAAAATCCGTGCAGCCGCACCACCTGCACAGAGGAATGCGGACCCGCGGGCAGGTGCCATTAGTTCTAATAGAACGCCGCCCGCACTGGAAAACGCAACCGTACTGGGAACCGAAGTTCCAAAGCGGGCTGCGTTTTCCAAAGAAGTACAGGGACTTCTTCCCTGCGTGTCACGGGTACGGGAGTCCATTCAAATGAATGGGCTCTCGTGCCCACGCAAAACGCAGACCGCATATATGTGAACCGGGGGTCAACTGGTCTCGGCCCCAAGGTACCGCCGCAAACCAGCCACAACAAGCCCTTGCTCTCTCCATTTGTCCTGGTGACTGTTGTCACAGAGAAGGAAAGTGAGAAGAAATCAAACATTTCTACAGTTATGACTGTAAGAAGTAAGTGGAGATTTTTCAATGGGTACACCTTTCTTACTGACAAAAAACAACTACCTAAAAAGAGGATTTCCTCTCACTTTGACTCCCATGTCTCCAGAACAGGAAGTGAAGGGAAGTCCCCCCAACCAGACACTGAGAGCAAAATCTTCATAGGAGTTTTAATCACTTTTGCCGCCATCCAAAATATAATAAACAAGATTTAGCTTGACAAAATTTACACCGATTTTGTACCCAAGACATAAATTGGATGAAATGGTACTTTAGTTATATCTATCTGCATTTGTATTACATAGATGAAAGCACTTTCAAGCTATGGAAAAAGCCATTATGACAAGCAAAGCTCTTCAGAAGTGCTGTAAACTCTGCATGACCCATCAAGGATCATTCCTCTGCTTTCCACAGAAAAGGAAACAAGCCCCTCATCATGCATGTGCCACACCATCCAGCTGACTGGGAGGGAAGCCTGCAGTAGGGGGTTCAGTGGAACGTGACTGAAGCCAGGACAGGCAGTTCTGTCAGTTGTCTATTCAGTCATCGGCCCCCATTTCAGTCACCCTTACAAGATAATAAACACAGTATCCATTCAGGTCCTTCTGACTTGTTTTGAATCACTTCCGAGTTGTTCAATTTACCACTGGGTTGCTTTGAGCTGCTTCTGTATTCAAGGTGACATGTATGGGGAAGCAAAGCGACTGAGGCAAACAAAAGCCCATGTTTTTCTCAGAATTACCAACGATCCCACAGGTTTTTTTTATAATGTGGATTTTGGAAATAGAGGACGCCTGCATGCTGGATGCTGTTTGGGGATGAGTGTGGACCTTACAGTGCAGGATACGTACATCTCCACAGAATTTTAACTCCTCTACCACTCCTTACTTCCTAACTGAGCAGAATACAGTTGCAGACTTTAGACAGTTCAGGCCTGTAAACAAGGAATGGTGATAGTTTACCTCATGAACAGGCCTGAGCTGTCTGGATATATTACAATTGTAACCTACTTCACTAATAAAAGTCCTGTTTTTCTGGGTTGACCAGTGCCTAAAATGCTGCAACAGTCTACTAAAATCTATCACTAAGAAATCCAACCACTACTGCCTGACCATGTTCCCATCCAGCCTCTCAAATTTTTTACACCAGTGGAACCCTTTCATATAATTTTAAGGTTCTGGGAAACCCTTGGTAAAAATTAATTCTTCAGTGGCCAATAGAAAGAATGCCCCTCACACTGGTGATCAGTGGAAAGAATGCTACCTCTTATATACAGTTAAAAAGATAGTTGGTGAAGGCACCATCAGATAGGATGTCAACTAGCCACGCTTAGCATCCTCTGGAGAAACACTGTTTGAGATGGCTGTTCTAATCCAATACTCTCCAAAATGTTCATGCAACGTGATTTATATTAGAACGTGTAACTACACAGGGAAAATGGACCCATTTAGCAGGCTGAATGGATATTGAGAATGTTGCCTATCAATTCAATAACAAAGGTCACCGGTCTGATCCACAAAGTCCTAACTGAATGGTAAGGTACATAGGCACTTGATAAGAACCATAGCTCAAGGACACATTTTGGGTGCTTTCCACAGAGTCAGGTAAACAGGTGTCATAACTGATATTTAGGACCAATGTTTACAGTAGGCCATACATTTTGCATTTTTACTAAATGCATCATACTTCGGCACAATGCTCTGCAGCAAGGGTTCCCAAACTTTCTAAACAAAGGGCCAGTTTAATGCCTTTCTGTCGACGTTGGTGTTGCTGGGTGGGGAAAACTGTGCCCTGTCGTGGGTGACGTGGGGGGTGATTATGCCCCATCATTGGTGTCCCGAGGGAGTGGGGGGATGAAATTATACCAGTGCTGGTGTCACTGGGGGGAATTATGCCTCTTCGCTGTTGTCAGAGGATGAAATATTGCTCCAAGGGCCAGATAAAAGCAAGCAAAGGACTGCATCCGGACCCCAGGCCTCATTTTGGAGACCACTGCTCTGCAGTACAGAGAGTTAATGTTTAATGAAGTATATTTTTATAATTTTGAATTAAAAAAAAGTAAACAGCATGACGCATTGTAAAAATGCATTTTATTACCCCTATACTAAGCATACCACAGTGCAAGCTATACAGCGTTTAATGTGTGGCCTGATGTGAACCGAACCTAATGAAGAACTCCAGGAATTATCTACAGAAAGAACAGCAGAAGTAAAGTTTAATATAATATTACTTTTACCTCTGTGCTGTTCTTTCCCAAACCCAGCTTGCCTTAAACTGTCAGAAAGCAGCAGTGCCTATTTTTGCTCAATGTTCTGGTCCAGGCACTTTGTACTTCTTGTCCCTGCAATTTTCTGAATTAATAAGTTGCTGCAGGCTCATAGACTTCTATGGCCAAGACTAATTCCAGTAAAAAAAAAAAAAAACCCAGGAACAGGAAATGGAGAGCGCATGGAATTAAAATGTTGAGCCAGCGGAACTGATGTGTTCCTGTATTACTCTTATCAGAGACTTATATTTTGGAAAGGACAGCTCACAGGTACACATTCAAGATATTATACTTACCTACTGTTCTCCTGTCCAGAAATAAATCATGGACCTTAACTCAAAAGAAAAGAGGAACATGTAAAAAAATCAACAGTGGCTAAGCAGAAAGGATCACTTTATGTCTGGAAATTCTTCCATAAAATAGCAGTGCACTTCCAGGTATGTGACGGTGCCTAGCCACTCCTAATATCTGCAATGTAAGAACTAAAGCACCCACGTCTGGTCTTATCAGGTTTGAAATGAAATTGGCAATATCATTACTGTGCTGCTTGCTGGAGAGGAATACACACTGCAAACATTTCCCCGCATTTTCATTCATCTGAACTTTCTCCAGTTCTCCCACTACTTCTCAAGTATTCTCCAACTAGTCATTGGAGACACAGCTCTGACCTAAGAAAGCAAAGCTTTGCACCTACCATGAGGGCTCCACACAGAGATCCAAAGCAAAACATGGGGTCAAGATCAATTGCAGGGAGCGTGAAGGCAATACCAGTGACTAGTGCAGTCATTCTCAACTAAGATTCCTCCAGAAGTTGCCAGAGTTTCTTTAATTACTTGCCTAATGGACACTTTGATCCCCTTCCTGCCCAGGGCAATTTTCAGCTTTCAGTGCTGTCGCACTTTGAATGACAATTGCGCAATTATGCAACACTGTACCCAAACAAAATTTGTATCATCTTTTTGAGACATACAGAGCTTTCTTTTGATGTTATTTAATCACCACTGGGTTTTCTATTTGCTAAGCAGTTTCTTAGTTTTTGTTATAAAATTTTGTAAATAAGTACTTTTTCTCCTTTATTGATGAGACTGCACTGACAGGCATCACTGATGAGCACGGATATGTGGGACTGATGGGCAGCAATGATGGGTATTAATAGACTGCACTGATGAGGAGGTACTGATGGGCAATGACAGGCATCACTGATGGGCACTGAAAGGCAGCACTGATGATCAGGGCACCGATGATCAGTGCCCTGATTTTCAGTGTAGATGTGCCCTCTGAGGGTTGCCACTTATTGGCTCTCCTGTCAGAGTGAGGACTGCCGATAACCGGTATTTCCTGTTTACATGTGATCAGCTGTGATTGGACACAGCTGATTACATGGTACAGAGCCTACGCTCTTTACCATGATCGGTGATCCACTGTGTCCGAGGGACACAAAGCACCACCAATCATGGGGGCACACATGTGTGCCTAGAGTGGAAGGACATCGTATGATGTCCTCCCAGAACAAGAGAGCTCCTGCTGTCCATTTCCCAATACAGCGGGTGGGAGGCGGTTAGAGAGGAGTTTCAGGCTTCCCCCAAAAAATTAAAAGTCAGTAGCTACAAATACTCTAGCTTTTGACTTTTAAATATAAGGACATTAACCTGTCTGGGGGCCCAGCACAGACATCACCTGGGCTAGTTCTCCACTAGCCTCCCGGGTTCCCAATGCTGGCATTGCAAGTAAGGAAAACCAGAAGAGAAGTATTGTGACATCACAGCCAGTTTTCTAATGCGCATGTGTGAGTCGCGCTGCACCCGTAGTCTTCTGTGACCTGTGAAGGAAGGGGGGGGGGGGTTTTGGGGGTTGTGGGTGGAGGGAGTTGGGAGCAGGTACCTGTCAAAACCAGGTATCCCCACACCCTCAAGAAGTGCCAAATGTGGTTGTGGAGGGGGGAGCGTGCAAACAAGCAGAGCTTCCCCTTTTGGGTGGCGCTCCACTTAAAGTTTTGGCTGACTGACCTCCCCACATTTGATGGTGATGTCAAAGATCAGAGGACAAAGCCACTTGGCAGAGCCAGCATCATAGCACCAATTCTTTTTAGCGGTCTATAAGGGTGGTATTATAATCACCACTGTAAAAGTGTGTGCATGGGGGGGGGGCTTTCTTCCCACTGACCACCAAAGTAAGGTGCATTTTTTTTTCCCCACTAAGGCTTGATTAATTTTCAGGTCTAGGGGAACCCATGCTAGAAAAAAAAAATGAATAAGGGGTTCCTTTGCATGAGAAAGGGGAAAAAAGGCTGGACTGGTTTTTTGTCTTCAGCTTGCCTTTCATGAGAATAGCTTCCATAATTCAGATCCTCTTTAAAGGGTTACATCATGAGACCTCCCCCCAATAAATTAAACGTCCCCATTCACATAAGAATTTTCATCCAGTCATGCAAGCAACATATCTTTTAGATGTTGACAAAAAACTGAGAGAAATGGAATTACATGAAAAATACATAAAACTAGTACTTTATTCTGAAGGGGAGAGGGCACCGCCTCAAAGAAAATAGAGCACGCAAAAAAAATGTATAAAAGAGGCGCCAGATAAAAAGCGTGCATTCTGAAACACGAAAAGTGTGAACCAGCCCTA